AAAAAATTAAATAATAGATTGAACAATCGCCAAGTTTTTAATATTTTTATTTAAAGAAGGATGACGTTTCGAGCTAGCGCTCTTCGTTAGATCGTACAGCTTGGTTGTAAGCTGTATGATCTGACGAAGAGCGCTAGCTCGAAACGTCATCCTTCTTTAAATAAACAAAAACACTTGGCGATTGTTCAACCTGTTATATAATTTTTATACTTGTGTTGCTAGGAAAGCTGACATAAAAGCCATTGTTGGAACATGGTGTTACCAAAACGCACTGACTTTTCTATATATTAGAAGTTATTAATCTAACTGATTTTTACCAATAATTATTCTACGAATACGCCACGAATTTATTTCATGAATGATCTTAATCTTAATTGGCTCACAAAGGAATTTACCGAAGTTTGACTGCCTCGACTGAACTTTTCTGCCTCATTGTTGGTCAAGGTTGATTTCACAAAATATTTACATTTCAGTTGGCTATGAAATGTGAGGTTAGGGCATACTATGGAGTGGAGGTGGTCGTACTTGCCTCGTCATTTTTGATGGGTTATACACTAGTATCTGTTATAATAATACTCAGTTTTTTATGTCCTGAAAATGCGCATGCGCGCGCACTTCATTTCAACGGATGTAAATATACTTTAGTAGACATTTTGTACACCAACGTATTAAAAGCTTACTAATGTTTTTAAAAAGGTTTAACGTTAGGTCGTAGAATACAATATAAGTTTATTTATTGATGGTATTAAATTCGGTCAAGTTTAGCCCTAGCTAAACTAAAGCAAAAACGTACACAAGTTACAGTGTTAATCAATCTCTTTATCGAATATATAATCAATATCAGTGGCTTAAGTATGCTTCCACAGTTTGCGAAATTGTGGCCTGGAGGACAGCATATTTTGTAGCTACGCCATTTGGTCGTACTTAATAAAGGCTTAACTAATATTAGGCCTAAGTCAATTGGCACAAACCGATGGCTCATTCCTTTTCTCTCACAAGGCCTCTTTTTTCGTTTAAAATACAATTATAATAATACTCTTATCTTCATGATTAAAAACAAACAAAAAACGGCGCTTTAGCTTAATAAAATTACCAATACGACCGTGTATTGATACAAATTTTGGTGTCTATGATTATAATTCTTTTGTACTATTTTTGAAATCTTTTATTTAAAGAAGCACTATTACAATAAAGATATTAATTTGACCATTAATATTTTGCAGGTCACTGTTAGTATAACGATAATTACGAAATAGGCTGGTTTTAAGAGTCGCGTGAATGTTAGATTTACACACAAAAAAGGGCGATTTTAACTCAAAATTAAACTCTTGACTAAAATAATTGAGGACTGAGACCCGAAATTTATAGCCATAACACCAGTTGAACTGAGGCTCGGAACCCTCAATTTATTAAAAACAGAGAAACGGTTTCTAAGGCAATTCATTGTTTCATGCAGAGTTATGTCTCAGTTAGTTTGGAAATAAAAATGTTTTGTTCATCTTCACATTCTTGTGCTTAGTTTTATTCTTTTCTCTTTCATATATGTTTTAAAGTTTAGAGTTAAAAATCGGTACTAACTATTGACAATAAGCGGAGTTGGAAGAAAGTTAAATAATTTGTTGTCTTCTTTCGAGAATATTTCTAACCGACCCGCATTTAATCTCATACCCCAAAATCGATGGATCATTTCTTTTCTTCACGAGACTTCTTTTTCTTTTAAAATACAATTATAATAAGACTCTTATCTTCATCATAAAAAACCAGTGCTTTAGCACCATAAAATTAACACTAAAAAAAGAAAAGACTATTTTATGAAATATTTATAAATATTAGAAACCTTGTGATTTTTCTACTTATCTTTTTTTATAATCATATTCTCAATAAGTATACAAACGTTCACTACACTCACTCAGTCCTTATTTTAAGTATAGTTCTCGTGAAGTATTTTATAGAAATATTGCAATATACGTATATTTTTTTGCTAATATAGATTAGGAAAACATAAACCAAATACTAAGCTCGTATGGCGTAAGGCTACAAAGGAAGTTCCCCCCCCCCCTTCCATCCCCGACGTATTTAAAAATGGCCAGGGACTAATAGGACAATATTAACTGTGGAATATTAAAATCCTCGTTGTTCGCAGAAAAATTACCTTGGGCTGAATATAGTTAATCAATGGAATATACTGGGCAACATTTACCTAAGCTTATCAATTTAAGTTTGTAATATTTCGCTCTTCCCTTCCAACAATCACTGTTAAGCTTTCAGTAGTATTTAAATTTTGATATTGCGCTAAAATTAAAACTTATATAAACTTTTGTTTTAAAATACATGGTTCATTCATGCTAATACGTCTACTTTTATTTAGGTTATTGTTCATATGTTTTGAAATTCTGACAATACAGATACAATATATGTTCATTATTGATAGAAACTGATAAACTGTTTTGTTGCTTTGGGAACGAAAGTGTCTCGAAGACTTTTACTACGTTACATTTAGTTTGATGGTAGCTTATTTCAAAAGTTTAAATGAAAATCACACAGTTTTGAAAATTCCTGTAACTTGCATGACAGCTTCAGCAATTAGATATTTCTTCGTGAAAACAAACTGTGAATTAACACTGATTAAACATCTAGTAATTAAGCATTATCCATCTTATTTTCTGTGTGTGATCAATGTCTTTTGATGCAGTGCCGGGTTTAGAGTGGGTGCAACCCATTCAATTGCTTGGGGGCCTCGAGCCCCCCAAAAGGGGGTCTCAATTTTGAATCACTCTAGAGGGGGGGGGGGTCAATTTTCAATCATCCTAAGAAGGGGGCCTCCAAAATCTCAGTAATGCATAAGGGCTTCAAAGGGTCTAAATCCGGCCTTGCTCTGATGACAAAAACTGACAAGTCTCATGCTCAATTTTGACATCATTGTTGATTAATGACTCACGGTTTTCTTAACAAATCAGAGCTTGCACAACCATGATGCTACCCGTATCGTAATTTCTGACCAATCAAATATGAAGAATGTTACATTGCGAAATGTTCAAAGTATTGTGAAGAAGAAAAAATCCGAATTGGTTGCTGATTCACATATTGGAAGACAGAATAATTGAAGTCCTCATATGTGATTCACAAAAATATAAAGTTAAGAGTGATATTTCCATTATTCACACATAACAAATTATAACGCAAAAACATAAATAAAAAAGGGATCCAATGTAAAATATGAGGAAAAGTGTAAATATCCTAAAATAAGTCACTCTTTGTGTTTTAATGAAAGGGGTGGTTTAAGTGCCCCTGGCAATAATAAAATCTCCATAAACCTTTCCGGTTGTCCAGGGTACTGGTGAAAACCACAGAAATCCTATTACTTGACCAGTTGGTCTTGTTCTGCACTTTAGTTACCGTAAACCAAAGTTGTCGTTTTCTTAGTGCAAAGTTACACAGCAGGCTATCTGCACTTTGTCCACCGCGGAGAATCGAACTTCGTATTTTAGTGTTGTATATCCGTAAACTTACTACTGACAAACTATAGTTCCCCCTTTTTGAACTGACGCGAAACAAACAAAAAACATAGATGTGCAAAGTCAGTCGGTATTCTAATATGGCGATATAGAGACCGACAATCGTGAAGTGTCAACTTGAATGAGCCAGGAAGTTTTACTTGACATCAGGTGGATCTGACATCATCTTGTGCAGAAGCTGATTAAAACCATCAGATAGGTTATCATTGATTTGTAAGACATGCAACTTGCTGCTTGGAATAAAAAAAAATACCCAACTTATATCAGTTAGGAAACCATCTTTGATTGGCCAGAAATAATGTCTTGTATTGTGTCATTATTATCCTGGGGCTTTTTTTAAAGAGAAGAAAAAAACTCTGGTTCATTGCTCATGAGAAATTAGATTCGTAAGGTGTTTTCATAAGAAAAGGAAATAGCTTGTTAGGACTTGTTCCACACACAAAAAGACTGGGTAATTAACGTCATGTGAGGTATCTAAATTATTATCAGGTAGGGGATCTTTCCTGCCATACAAAATCAGTTTGATCTGACGTCTATGCTACTTTTGTTTTATGTCCTTAAAATTAAATAATAGGTTGAACAATCGCCAAGTTTTAATATATATATATTGTAAATTGTACGATCTGACGAAGACCGCTAGGTCGAAACGTCATCCTTTAAATAAAAAATATGTAAAAACTTGTTCAACCTATTATTTAATGTTGATATTTTCGTCGCCTATGCGGTTTTAACTATATTTGTCTTTTTATGACCTTAAAATTCATTTATAACTTAACGTAATATATGAATTATTTTTCATCACACCTGACTACGTCTACAATCATAAAACGAACAAAATTTTCACAAACGAATGAGGTACAGAAGGGATAAGATTAAGTCAAACCATCCTGCAGACTCAGAAGTCAGACAGTTGAAATCTTCATTCTTTCTTGATGTAGTTTTTGGACGTGTACGACTGAGAAGTAGGGGCTTTTAAACGATGCATTAATTTCGGAATCTTGTTAGATCTTCTCTTCTTTCCTCTAAAGAAAGAGGTACAAAAATAAATGTTAAAAACAAAGAACACGGCTTGACTTTTATTGGGAGAGTGTGAATACACGCGGTCATCTTTCTTGTAGATGGTTTACAATAAAATGGAATTATCTGAAAGTAAAATACAATTAAACTCTGCAACATTTTAGATTAAATCCCTGCATATACGTGTTTCACCTGTGTTACTAATGATTGTTTGTTTTTAATCATGCACAAAGCCACACAAGGGCTATCTGTGCTCTGCCCACCACGGGTATCGAAACCCGGTTTCTAGCGTTGTAAGTCTGCAGATATACCGCTGTACCACTGGGGGGGGGGGCGTGTTACTAATGAAAAACATAATTACCTACAAAATGACTTGAATGATACGCTGATTCATTACGACAATCAAATATAGTAGTCGATTATTTAATAACATTGTTTGTTTGTAGTTAGGCAAAAAGCTACACAAAGGGCTCTCTGTGCTCTTCTCATCACGGGTATCAAAACCCGGTTTCTAGCGTTGTAAGTCCGCAGACCTGCAGCTGTGCCACGAGGAGTTACAATAATCAGTTGATGATGATAGAATATTCGAAATCACATAAATGTTAATAAAATATTGCGTACTACTAATAAACCGTTCATAAAATCAGCTAAAAAAATTATCTAAGATATCTTCGGCATATCTGTTGTTGTTAGCGCCAGGCTTCACAATGGACCACCATTTACCGGTGCTCCACCAGAGACTCAGCACATATATAATAAATATAGAAACTTCAACGATAAGGATCTGGATACAAAATCTGTGCTTTAAATCAGAATTGCTGGATCATTTTATACGATGATTTTCCTAAAGACGAGTCCCTAAAGTTCGGGGTCGGACGTGACCTAATCATTATGCTGCCCGTACATGAATTCTAGGTTTGATTTGAAATTAGGAATGACCTTGTGGTTAGTGTGTTTGCGGGTTCATGAAGCTGTGGTCGTGTTATAAGAGCGGTCATAAATATAAAACAAAAACATTATTCAGTCAGATAATAGTAACCCAAGAGTTCGCGGTGGGTGCTGTTGACTATGTGCCTTCCCTCTAGTCTATAAGCTCAAATTTATATAAGTTGTTATGAGCAGATATCCCTTTATTTAACTTTGCGTGAAGAATTCTGAAATTAGCTCAACATAAGTAGAGTGAAAAACACTTGGTTGTAATGTTGACCGACTTTACTACGCCTGACAAGTTTTCATAAATCTAATTTAACTGTGTTTTCTGAAAGGTAAACGTGTGAGGTTCGAAAAGGGTCCTCAAAAACATATTTTATCATATAAAAGTTTAGTAATGGGTTGCGAACTTAGTAAAACTGAATTACTCAAGCCTTGAAATCGAAGTGTTGCTAAATTTATTCTCACAAACAACTAACTTCATGTCGATAATGTTTTTTAAAGGCAACTTATAACGGTTCGTTT